TGGATGAGGGCAGGTTCCTACTGCAGGCTCAGCCACCGCTGGGCCAGCACGGACACCCGTGGGGTGCCCTCCTGCACCCTCTGTGCTGCCACCTGCCCCCTCCGCCTTCCCTGGGGCGCACAGCGGCATGGTGGGGGGTGGCAGAGGGGGAAGAACTGCCCGGGCTCCCCGGGCTCTGCACTCCTCTGTCCCGAGCAGGGAAGCCCTGTGGGAACAGGGCTGCAGGTGGCCTAGTGCTGGAAAGCTGTGGGGACAGAGGGTGACAAAGTGCAGGGGAGTCCAGAGCATCCCAGGGAGGGGGTGTCCCCTGGGGAACCCCAAAGCTGGCTTAGTGCAAGGTATTTGCTAGCAAGAGGATTGGGTCTGTGGAGGACAGTGGGAGCAGCCACACTCCTGAGGCACTTGGGCTTTTCACAGAGCTGGTACCAGCCTCTCCTAGAGGGCTGGGGTGGAGGACATGCAGGGTGGGACCATCTTCTGTCCTGCTCCCTCTTTGCACAGGGTTGGGCAGGTCCCCACCAGTCCCTGTGGGAAGGAAGGGGACATTCAGTGCCAGGCCAAAAGCACAGCTCTGCCAGCAGCTGGGCAAGGACAGTCCCTACCTGGGCAGGCTGTCCTGGTGCTAGAGCTCTGTAGAGGGCCCACCACCCTGAGGCCTGTTCTTTTCTGCAGCATCTGGCACATGAAATGCCACGTACGGGCACTTCTTCACGTTGAGGCACACGAGCTTCTCAAGTGATGCTGTCTTCACTATCTCAAATCCGGTTGCTCCACCAAATGTACTGGGTTTCCAGTACTCTGGGGAGCAGATGGGGTTTCCCAAAAGCCCCTTGAGGGAAAATGGAGCTCCAATCTCCACCATGCTTTCTCCAAAAATACCATTGGGTTGGGGTTTCTCAAGCAGCAAGCCCACATAAAACTCCAGAGCATCAATGTCTCCATACAGCTCTTCCAGCTCTGCTGCCTTCTCTTCCTCCCCTGCACAAAGTGAAGATCAAATGCTTTAGCAAGGGAGTCACCTCCTGGCAAGGCCTGGCCTTGCTGTGGACAATGGGAACACGGCAGCTCCTGCAGCCCAGGCAGTGGTGAGCCCCACTCCTGGGACAGGCCCTGCCCTCCCCACCACACGTCCATCCCTTGGGAGGGAGGAGCCCTGCAACCCAGGCACCAGCCCCGACCACCCTGGTGTGAGGGTGACCATCAAGCACAGCTTGGACAGGCAGGAGCGGCTGCTCTGCAAGGCAAGCCTAGTGGCAGGGTACAGCTCAGGGTCTCATCCCCCATCTGTGGGTGCAGAGCAGCCGTGCTGCCCCAACAAAGCCCTGAGAGCTCCTGCAGCAGCTCCATAGCCCTACCTGTGAGCTCCTGGAAGGACTTGG